CCATATTATTAAAAAGGTATTTTAATGTTTTTGTGTGACCGGAATAAATTCGTATCATCTGGGCTGGGTTATTTTTAATTTTTTTAATATCTTCGCTTCCTAAAAAGCTGCAAGCAACCATTATTAGAGTTGGAAGATCGCTCTCTAGACTGGAAGATCTCTTTAGACTGGAAGATCGCTCTCTAGAGTTTTTGAAAAGATAACAGATGCCGCTTTCCAGCATGCCAGAAAATAAGGCTCCAATTAGCGCTTGTTAAATAGTTTTGAAATTATAGACAACAGCTCCGGAGAACACTTCTGCAAGACTATAACAGGTATGTTGTCCGGACCACAAGCTGTAGAAGAGTCTAAGCAGGAAATCACTTTAGATACAGAAGCTGGAGTGATACGAATGTCAATAAATCGATCAACCTGTTTGACGGCTATAACAGGTAAAACGCAACTGGTGGAATCAAGAGATGATGTTGATGAAAAGTTTTTAGCAAACAATTCAACTTTGTCTTTTGGTAAGGTGACAAAGTCTGAACAATACAAGAGAGGTGGAATAACAGATTTTCCTTTATTGTTGATACTGTTAAAGATTCTACAGAAATCACAAGAGCCTAATTTATGATGAAATACGAGATTTCATGACCTGAAAATAGCGAGTTTTGGCGTTAGACAAAACCTTTTAACAATAATTTTTAGCAGTAATAAACAGACGTCTGTTTTCTGGAGAATTATTTTGCTGATAGATATGGAAGTAACGGTTTCGATTGGAAATTGTAGGTGGTTGCCCTGGAAAAATCTACAAGATTCTTATAATAAATAAACTTTACAAGTGTTTTAGATCTTTTTCATACTTTTTAAACGATCAGAAATTTTTTTTGTGCAACATTTAACATTATTTGACATTTTCTTTTGAAGTATCATTAATATTGCTTGCAATTCGACGTCATCAAGATTTTTTGATAGTTTTCCACATTCTTCATTACTCACATCAAAATTATTATGGAAAAGTTTTTGGCATTTTTAACACGATAAAAAAGTCGTTTGTTTAATGACTTAATGTATGTTTAATATGTTTGACTGATTTTATACCAACCAAACAAAAAAAAATATAGTTCGTTCACAAAAAAGATTCCCTATTGAAACAATGCTCATTTTATACCGTGTCACCTGGTAACCAATACCACAGAGTATAAGATAAACTAAAATATATTATGAAGTATATATAAGCATAATTTTAGGCTTCCAACTTTCCCAAATTCCGCTAGGGTAGCTTACAAAGCTCCCTAAGAATCCTACCTGGAAAGGGAAGAAGTTCTTAAGCCAACCCCGTTCCCTTTAAATATTTTATGGAATTATCGTTAAAAGCCTCTCATCCCACCCATGAAATTTCCAATAACCATATAGGTTATTGGAAGTTTAGGGCAGCACACAGTGTCTCATTAAAAATACTCATTTTGGGCAGATGTTAAATGGATCCGGCTACTGTCTTGTAGAAGACCTCCTAGGCGAAGACTTAAGGGGTAAACAGATTGTATCTGTTGCCCAGCCTCGCATCCCTTCTTCATCTATTAGGCTGGCGCAGATGTATTTTTAATACATTGTTTCCAGTTTAGGATATTGAATGCCGAAACTTCTTGAGTCGATGCATGGGTTTTGCTGATGTCTATATTTATATGACTAGGCAACTCATTCTATTATCTTCTAATGAAGGTACAGCTCTAAAACTTAGTTTTATGGTTCTGAGGCCGACTGGTAATCTAGTTTCCCGAACTCTGAGGTAGCTCTCAGCGAGGCTGATTCCATCAACAGCTGAAAAATATCAGTGTAATAACAGTGCCATTTTGTGCATGGATAGCGGCCTTGTTCATGCTTTTGGTGTGCATTGTCAAGGCCACATTTGTAGCCCTAGTTACGACTTAGGGTTTATTAATAGTAATGAGCCAATTGCTTGAGCTATTAAACAGTGTACTGAGTACTATCTATGCTTTGAGTCAAGTACTTTAACAAATTTAAAAATGAATAAAGTACCAAAAACTATAAAACACAAAAAACCATCGTCATCACCAAGTTTTCTAAACCTATCATTCACTAATATTCGTGGTCTTCAAAGTAACTATTCTTCTGTTGAGTCTTATCTCTTGCAAACTTCACCACTATTAACAACTAAAAAATGTGCATACACAGTTTTACATATAATTATTTTGGGCTCCTAATTGTAAAGCTAAACTTTAATTGAAAGGTTTATAAATAAATTAAAGTTAAAGGTTTATAAATAAATACCAAAATGAGCTTAGTCCAAATGAAATATTTCTTGTTAGTCCGGATAAAATATTTTTGGCTTCATTTACAAAAACTTGATGTTTTACGGATAATACTTTTTATAAAAAGAATGAAATCTCCAATCGGACAATTTTTTTATTAAAACCTATTTTTTAAAATGCTGCGACAAGACCGATTTAAAAGTTTGTATAATTTTTATTTTACTGTATTTTAAATTGACATATGCTAAAAAGATATATACCTAAAATATATTTAAAATTACCCAATATTAATTGAACCAAACAGAGATTTTTTTTCTTGCTTTTTACTTATCTAATTGATGTAGGATATATATTTTAGAAAGCGTAACTTTTGAATTTCCATACGCAATTATGCCAGGAAAGTTAAAAGGTCTCAAAAACTATTGTTTATCTTTGTTTAAAAATTCAACAGGTAACCACCAGGTAACCACATTGATACTTATACTATAGCTATAGATTTAAACATCTTTCTATAACTAAATAAACTTAGTCCAGAAAAAAAATACTGAGAAACCGAAAACAAGAGTTTTGTATAAGATCTGCGGTGTCGTCAAATGGAGTGAATACGGACAGAAATTAAAAAGGTTTTTTGGATGACTACAAACTGACAGTGACAGCTAATAGACCATTGAATCTTTTTTTTTAAATCAAGTATGATCTAGGTTCATAAACTTCGCAACATTTTGGTTTGGCTGTGACAATACCTAATACAGTTGAAGAACAATGCAGTTGAAGGTGTAATTGTGAATCTTTATTAAGTTATTGCGTAAACAATTTGATAAAACTTAAAGAAATTACAAAACATACACCTAACTTTAACTAACATATTTTCATTGATTTTAAAATATCCAATAAGGGGGCATTTATAAAGCACGCACGCAGTTAAATCACTAGTTTAGGAGCCTCCTCCCCCTTTGTATGCTCCCAACACCACCATACCCTTCGCGTACGTACGCACAATTTATAATAAAATCAACCTCACCCCTCCTTCCCAACACATAAATTTTTCAAAACCATAAAAACTTTTAGTCAACTCGACATTTCTGTGCTACATTACATAATATTGACTTTCTAAACTCGTAAAAATCAATGCCAATTTAAAAAAAAAAAAAAAAAAAATTAAGTTTTAAGAAGTAGAGAGAACGAGAGGTAGTCAAACCGTGTTTGTACTTGCTGTCTTTAATCCCCTATCTTCCCTCAACGTTTTCAGGTAACCTCTTCCACCCCCGCCCCTCTATAACTTCATATTATAAAGTACTTTAAGAAAAATCTCTCAAATAATAGGATGTAAAAATCAACCAACTCTACGTTTCAAAAACATCTCTACGAACGCAGAGATGTTTTAAAATTCAATGTAGACTCTAGAGAGTGGTGAGAATTCCCAGAGTGGTGATCATTATATTAATACCAGTAATACCCAAAGCTAAATAAAAAATTATTTTCCAACAGTTATTAAAACAGTTATTAAGTTATTGTTATTGTGTTCATTTAGATTAGTTATAATTTGTAGTAAGTGAATGTTTTGTCCAATTGTGCATTTTGGTTAGAGTTAAATGTTACCAGTACACTTTAGGTACATACACATTTTTAAAAAACTTCAACAGTGTCCCTATTATACCCCTATCAGAGGTGGAATAGAGACAAACATCTGAAACAGTTGGTGTCTCTATTTACTTAATTCAACAAGCAATAAGGTTATTTATTAATTTTGTTAATCAAAAAAAGGCATAATTTCATATATGACCATACTTAGCAATAAAAAATACAAATATAAAAAAATACAAAACTAGATTCTCAGTCAGTGACCAGAAATCAGTCCCTATTTTAACCCGTTTTACGGTATAGACGCGGTCTACGCGGTTCTTCAACATTTTTACCATGAGTTCATATTGTTGTGAAACAGAGACAATATGAACTCATGGTAAAAATGTTGTTGGATAAAATTTCCAAAAGTGATATGCAATATCACAAGTGAGAAAAGCAATTTTTATCTTCCTTTCTAAAATTAATTTTTTGGTAAAGTATAAATAAAATAATAAAAAAGAAAATTTTTTAAGAAGTACATTGTATTCATTAATTCTAATAGCAGAACTTTAAAAAGAAACTTGCATTCTAATGAACTTAATAAAATATTTAAATAAGTTAAATATTAAAATAATAAAAATAATAAAACACTCTAGTGCGAAAAAAATGACATCTTGTGACGAACAGAATGCGAACTATAAAATTTAGGTAGCACCACCCCTGCTTATAATTTGGATAAACTACAAAAAATTAAAAAAAATTCGTTTGAAAAAGATAGAAATGGTTTTTTAAAAAAAAATCAGGTATCGAGAAGTAAATTTTTTTAGTTTTAAAATATTAAAAAAATCTTGTTAATGAAATATTTTATAGGGTGGGGGTCCTACCTTATTAGAAACGCATGCAAAAAACGTAAATTACAAAATAAATATCTTCGGGTAACTTTTATAAACAATGTGAAACAACAAGAAGTTTATATAACAACAATTCAGGAAAAGCTTTATAAAACGAGTTTAAAATAAAAGAAAGAAAAGCAAAAAAAGCTTGAAAATAATTATTTTTCATTAACCGATTCAGCATACCAAACAAAAACAAAAGAATAAGAAAAACGTAATCATGTTTAAAAAAATAAATCATCTGTTCATTTCTCTATCTATAAAATTTTATAAAAAAATTAAAATAACTATATTTTTGAATAAAAATTTAATATATTTAACAAATAAAAATATTAATTTTATTAAAATGTTTAATATGACGTCATAAAAAATACTAACGTATATAGTCCACAAACAATGGTATCAAGCATCCGAATGCTGCGGCAACTGTATTGTTACTCGTTCTTCATTCCCCTTCATAATAAACAAAATATTAACATCGTAAATATACAGAGGGTAAGATAGCTACAGTATGGAAAGATAGCTACGGTAAGATATAGTAGCTACATTCGGTAAAGCTTGTTACAATAGGGTAAGGTAGCTAGTAGACTAGGGTAAGAATAGTTAAGCAATTTATATTAAATATAACATTTTTAATTAAACAACTAATCATAAAATTGTTTATTGACATAATTTAAATTCGAATAAAGTTGCTTCAAAAATGATAAGAAAAAATGAAATATTAAATAACCATCATAACATAAAAAAAACAAAAACAATTTTATGCAGTTCGAATTTCGACTATTTAATAATAATTTGTTTGGAGTTTGCTCCATGTCTGAATGTTCCATGTTTAAAGTTTTCTCTATTTCTGAATGTTCCATGTTTAGAGCTCAAAGAAAATTAAAACCAAATAAATGTATAATACAGGGTGTTTCATAGGTAGTGTATGTGTATTTTTTTTTTAATATAAAATTGCATAACTATCATAATATATTTATTAAAAATATATGAATATATATATTTTTTATTTCAATTCACCTCCCTAAGGCCATAAAGGCCACTACAGTCGAGGAGGCTACTTTTAGTTATGGTTACAACCCTCTCTCAACTCATTATTACTGTCAAGTTATAATCTGGTTTGATCGAAAGTTCGGTCAATGATGGATGTACACAACTTATGTATATGTACACAACATGTGATATATACTATATTTTACTGAAATTTTTTTATTTGTCATACAAGATGACATTTAATCATCATATTTTTCTAAAAATCAGGAAACTCGTCATTTTTTTGTTGTATATGTGAGATTTTTAAATGAAAACCTATCCTTAAAAAGCAAATATTATTTTGTTATATCTGACAATATGCTTCACAATACCGACGCAGTTATGTTGTAAAAATTAATCCTAAAAGAAGAATATCAACAAGTTTAGAATATTTCACTAACAGTGCAGATAAAGGCCAATTAAAAACCAAATGTTTTTAGTACAATACACTAATATGTATCAATACACAACTTGTATCAATACACATATTAGTGTATTGATGTAAATTGCATGTGAATTGATGCAAATTGCATCAATACACATATTAGTTTGATACAAATTGCATTTAAATTGCAATTAAAGTTTTGTTTAATGTACATTTGAACAATAATACAGAACTTCAAATAATTACTGCTCTTTTATTTATTTATATATATTATTTTATTTGTGATCCTATCCGGTATTTTAGTTCAGATCAGTGAAGGAGCTTATATATTATATCTTTCTTTTTTAAGAAATAGCTTATAATTAGTTACATCTTTTACATTAGACATCATTACATCAATCAGTAGACAAATTACATCAGCCAGTAGACAAATTACATTAGCTAGTAGACAAATTGGAAGGTACTGGTTTATAACAATGCATTCAAACTATGATAAAAGAAAAATAGGCTTATTAAAAAATGCTGCCATTCTTGATGTGAATATATGTTAAATGAATGTGAATATATATAAGTTAGAAATGTCTGCATTTTAAGATATTTAGATCTGACCCTATCAACCTGCTCCTTCAACAAAACGTATTAAGACAGAATCTTCCTAGAAAATAGTTCTAGAAAAAATAAGACACTTATTGAAAGTTAGAAAAAGTTATAAAGGCTTTAAATTTGTCTGTTTTTATCATTTTTAAATCGAGAAAGGGCTACAGTAAAGTGTTTATAAGGTTATTTCTAAACTGTTGCACTAAATTTTTAAAATTTCAAACTTAACTTATCTACATAATAGAAATATAATATTTAAAAGTTAGGAAAAGCATAGTAGGTGTCCCACTGGTTGGAAAATTGGCTTTAGTTGAAAAATAGTGAACTGACCATTGTGCCAATTGAGTTTTTAAGCAACATTAAACAACATAACATAAGCTCAAAAATTAATAATTGAAGTCATACTTTTCTTCTCTAGAAAAAATTATATTTTTTCCTAAAGTATACTGGTCATTCCAACAAACCAAGAGCATACCCACTCTTGTATGCATTTACACGTTTTTGGTTGACCCTCTTTCCCCCCATACCTGTGTACATACTTTATAGAAGACCTCAAGCACAAGGATTTAAATACGTGGAGAATAAAGTAAGGGGGGAATGAATTCCTTAAGTGTACATAATAAAATAAGTGAATACCTCACCAACATAAGTTGCAACTTTTTCTTTTAAAACAGCGTATCTCTCTTTAAGATCTTCTTGGTAAGCTGCTTGATCTGGTTTTATCAATATAGCGTTTAGTTTTAAAGCTTGCCCACACACTTTAATAAATTCACTGAGTAAATAAATTATTTCATTTCATTAATTAAAAAAAAATGTAAACAAAAAATATAAAAAATGGAAAAAAAAATTAAAATATCAATGAAATGTATTTCTATTTTAATTTTATTTTTTATTAACATATGAATGAAAGAAATCAGACTTACCGGTACGTTATTTGTAGCGCTTCAATGTGTTTTGGCAAGTAATTTTTTATAATAGTGCTTTCCAAAAAGGTTTGTGCATAAGCTAAAGGACCAGCATTTACCTAGTGATAAAAGTCATATAAAGATAGTCATAAAAAACAATTATTAAAATAAAAAAGTTTGAACAACTTTTAAATATTTATTAATACTATCTAGATAATATTCAATTTTAAAACTTTTTCTAAACGAAAAAACTTTTACATATTTTTAAGGATTAATAATTTTGTTAAATTTCATCAAAGAATGTCCAATAAAGAAGACTACAGTACTACTACAGTAAAATATAATGGTACTACTAAAGTAAAATGAAAACTATAATACTATATTGACAATATTACATTGATACTTTGCAATTGTACAAACTTGCCTTAACAGGGTGTCCATTCAAAATTTAAAAAAATTCAAAGTTAAAAAAACTCAAAAGTTAAAAAAAATTGGTTCAAGTTAAACCAATACCAACCAACATGTATGAAAAAAATGTTATAAACTTTATTAAAAATCTAAAAATGAAATATAGTCAACAGGAAAGGATAATCTATGAAACAATGTTAACCTTAAAGAGGCCACTCTTTAAAAATTAAATGATTTCAACATCCAGTTGTTTTGTCTTTATTATTATATGGTTATCTTTTTCTTGTTAAAATGTGAAATTTTAACAAAAAAAAGATAACCATATAATAATAAACATTTGTAACATACCTGAACACTTACTGTACCACCAAGTTTTAATTGCAATTTTTTCATATCTGGTGGGTCTAAGGAAATAACCTGATTCAGTTCTTTTACTTTACTTCTCATTTCGTCAATGGCAACCTAATAATTTAATAAACTATAATTGCTGTACAACAACAACAAAATTATAAAAAAGTTGTTCATATTTAACATTTTATCAAATTTATGAACATTTATCAACTTAAAATTAAAATTGTAAAAAAAAATAAAATAATTTAGATTCACAACAAAGGACATTTTGTAGGACACTAACACTAAACACAAACAAAATTTGTTCTCCAATTTCTGTTATATTTGATTGAACAAACAAACACTATTTTTGCTCCATTCACACCACAAGCAAATAATGTAGTCCAATTAGTAAAGTCAAGAGAATATCAGTAGCCAAACATTTTTGAATTACACCTTTCGTAATTATCATTTTTCACAACATTTTTGAGAAAGAAAATGAGTGTGAGTTGTTACATACCCTGTCTGAAACATTCAAGTGATCACTTGCCTACCATATTTTTAGGCTACAGTCAAAAAAATTTTAATACTTTTTGACTTCACAGTTTTTTTGAAGATGATAAATGTCATCTTCTGAACCAATACCTAAACACACCATGACATGTGGAAATCTTTTTTTAAATAACCACCTTTTGAATCTGCCTAACCATAATCAATTGCCCAGATTCCATCATTTTGTTCATTGCATGGGAAGTTGAACCATTTAAATAATTAAAAACTTTAATTTGAAAAATTAAACTTGAAAAATAAAAAACACAAGTGAAAAATGTGAAATGACACCAATTAACATTTAGATTTTAAATAAAAAAAATTTTATAATAAGAAAAAAATCACCATTATTATCTTATTAAAATTTTATAATTTATCAAAAAAATCCATCCAAAATAAAGCCTTGCAAAAAACTTACTTCAATTGGTGAGAGTTCATATATTTCTTGTTGGACTACCAAAATCCTTTTCTTTACATATGGAAAACAATGTGATGCTAAATAAAAAATAATCATACAATAACATCTAATACAATAATATTACTTATAATGATAATAAAGTTGTTATTATTTAATTGATTGGTTTAAACAAACAATATGATAAAATAATTATGTTATGTAAGTACTTATATTTACTGATCTCAATTTAGTTTTCAATAAATGTAACTACCATTACATGTTTAGATAAGGGCGTGGATTAGGGCAGCAATAAGTTTTCATTATTCTTTGTATTTTTCTTTCTCTGAATATCAAAGTCATTAAAATTCTACACTTCAGCAAGAATGAATTATTAAAGTTACATTCAAGAGTTCTATTCCAAAATTCGTTTACAAACTGTTGTTGCCCAGGAAAAATGTTGATCCGGAACAGGTATGCATATATGTCTTGCAGGCCTTACACATTTTATGACTTGATTTCACTGAATACTTTTTCAATCTTGTCTTTATAAATTGACTATATAAAATGCATTAAGTGAATGCAAAAAACCGCTTGATGCCATTCAAAGTAATTACTCTTCAAATAGGATTCATTATTCCTTTATTCACCAACATACACCGATGTAAACAGTGATAATGGTGGTGTAGAATGTAAAACAGATACCATGCTAGTTCAAGCATACTTGAATTATTGAATAAGTTCATGCAACTTGAATTATTTGTAGAGCTAATTAACTTAATTAACTGTTTAACATTTTTATTTTTTTTTATGAAATATCAATTAACAAAGTTTCATCATATATTGATGTACTATAGGAAAATATGACATATGTAAATATTATACCCTGTATTAACAAAACATCACTCAGACGGGCCTCAATTGGTCAGATATTCTTTTGAACAGTACCTACGCTTCCTGTTCTAACTTTCAAAAGAAAGCAGAAAGTCTGGCAGTGAGGAATATATTAGAGAAACAATTTATAGTTTAGCAGGTAATGTGAGAATTTAAAATAATGTCACGATTTGAGAATTTAAAATAATTTCATTTCTCATGGGCCTTCAAGTTGGTTTAAGAAAAACTCCTTGTTTTATTTTTTTCATTTCAATACTAATTCACTCCCAATAAAGTTGCAAGAAAGATTAAGTTGGGAGTAGAAAACAATATTAAGTTGGGACTAGAAAACAATATTAAGTTGGGAGTAGAAAACAATATTAAGTTGCAAAAAACCAATATTAAGTTGGGACTAAAAAAAAAAAATGTTAAAGAGCAAGGTCACAATTGATTCAGAAAATACATGAGAAGAGAGAGGTTCAAAGGATTTAAATTCATCTAAAAATTAGACGAATAAAAAGTTTTAAAGCATGAAGGGACAGATACATTAAAAGAATGCAACTTTGCTGAATGACAAGTCAAGCAAGAATGAGTTTTGGTAGATGGAACTAGAGATGATAGCTTGTTTAAGCAGTAACCATGATAGTTTTTGTAGAAAAGAGAAAACAGGATTCCATACAAGGACAAAAAAATAAAAAGATTTGTAAAGGTAGAGAATGAAATCAGGAGATAATGGCGAGTACGATAAAGAGAAACAACCTTAGTAGATGCTAACTTTGCAACTAATTGTATATTGTTTTCTATAAGAGGTCAGTAGTGAACAATTATCAACAAGAATGTTGATAATATTGCAATAGTTGTTTGCAGTTTTTTGGCAAAAAACTTAAGATAAAAAAAATTGAATTATAAAAATTTAAAAACATCACCAAGCATCATTATATGCACTTGGCATAATGTCCTTGAGAGCATTGAGAGCATTCTTTAACATTGCAAAATGATGTTGACAGCACTTTTAAATTGTTTTTTTACAAGTTGTCTGCCAATATTTCCCTAATCTACTAAATGTTTTAAAAATAAGGCTTCTATTAGAAAAATCCTCCTTAATTGCAAAAATTATAAACATATAAAATATAAAAATAAACAGCCCACATTTGAAGTGTCAAGAGAAGATCATAAAACTATCTGCCAAAAAAAAATTTATATTAAGTGTATGATAAACAACTTATTTAAGTTAAGTAATTTTCATAAAAAGCCATTACGATGTCACTTTTCCCTGTTTTCCTTGATTTCCCTTATCTGGCAGATTAATTGTTTTTAAATGTAGCTTTCATTTGTTGACATATGTTATGAAGTATTTAGCAGCACAATGCTAAAAACACTCTAATTGAGAAAAATACTATTTTGACTTTCCAGCTTTTTATTTTAGCGGTTTTATATAATGGTTGCCCAATGGTTTACTGCCAATTATATTCAGTATCCAGCGGTAAAAAAATACTAGTCAATCACCACAGAGCAACTAGACAATTACTAGTTACAACCTGATACCTAGTTTTTAGAGAATTTGCAAAAATCTTGAATGAATATTTGAACAAAAATATTTTATTGAGTGGTAGAGTGTAAAAAAAAACTACAAAAAATTAAAATGGTATTCAACTACCACTAATCATAGCAGAGTTTAACTCATGAAGACTTAAGCAATGTTTTATTCAGCCTTTAGCAATGTTTGCAATGCCATAGGACAACTAGATAAAATTCAACGGTTACACCGCTGCATTTCATCATTTTTTTTTTAACTTTGTTTTGAAAATCAAATCAAAGTTTAATTCATTGTAATTTTTTTGAACTTGAACTACGTTAATTAAATAATGGTTTTTAAATTAAATAATGGTTAACAGTTTTGGCTTTAATTAATTTAATTGTTGCTGTTGTTGTTACTAAAATGAATTCAGTTTAAAATTCATATATAATAAAAATTATTATATCGATGATATCATATTAAGTTAGTATTTAAAAAATGAGCTTTTTTAATTAAAGTTTTTGACATTGTTTTACTTGAATTAAAAATAGTAAACACAAATCAGAACTATTTATTACATCTTTCTTTTTCTTAACTTGCTTCAATTTTCACGAAGGAGTATTTGACAAACATCACAAAAAAATATTGATATATTTAAATTTCAATGCCCAAATCCTTTTTTTACAGAAAAAGAAAGATTTAACAAATCTTATAAATTGAATGTTGTTCCAGACCTTTGGAAAAAAGCAAACATTATACCCCTAATTAAAAAAGAAAGCAAACCTGAACCATCTAAATATTGCCAACTTTGGTTGTATGTAAATAAATACAACATATTGTTCAAGATGAGATAATGAAACACTTACCAGTGCACAAATTGATAATAAAACAACAACAACAGCTTAGTTAATAATTAAAAAAGCACTACTAATTTGCTTAAAACAATTGATTTTATTATAAAAGAACTTGCAGATGAATACAATATAGATAAGTTATTAATAGATGTCGTAGATTGTCTCTGTTTTATTGTTAACGTTATTATTAGTAAAGCTCGATTGCCTTGGGATTAAAAATAAACTATTTTTGTAATGTGAAAGTTTTCAAAGCAAAAGACTTCATAGAGTAATAGGTGGAGAATCTGTGTCAGAATGGGAAAAAATGAATAGTTGAGTCCCATAAAGCTCAGTTTTAGGTTCAGTATTCTTCATAGTATTTATAAATAATTTATTAATAAGAATAAAAAATGAAGGCAAACTATTTGCTGACGATGCTAAACTTTTAGCAGTCATCAACTCAGAATTAGGTAATATTAGTTTACAAAAGAATTTTTTAAGTCATCTGCCAGTCTGTCCTTCTTTTTAAAAAAATGGATAGACTGGAAAATAAAATATAAAGTAATGTATTTCAGAAATAATAACTTTAAATACTAATACAAAAAAATCAGGCAAAAAATTTTCTTTAATAGAGTTGTAAATGATTAGAATATTTTAACACAAGAAATCATTGAATCAAACCAATTTAAACCAATTTAAGAACCACATCTATAAACACTTCAAAGTTTTTCAAATCTCAGAATATTGTTATTGTTTAACTGCTGTTACACTACTTTTGTTACAACATTTAAATAAATAATATAAATTTATATAATTCTATTCTATTTTATTTTAAATATATGAACTTTACTGTTTAATTAAACAAAAAATTTTTATTAAAAACATTTTATAAAAAATAAACCACTTATTATTTACCTTTCCTAAACTCTTAAAATGAGTACCATTTCATACTTAAGTTACTAAGTTAGTAAGGATTGTTTATCCTTTTTACGCACTTTATCATATGCACTGCTCTGGGACAGAGTTGACACAAGGTGCACTATTACAGAGAAAACTGGCAACAACAGACCAAGATCTTAGTAAACAAGAGCAATGTAAAGTAGAACTTCAGAAAAACCTTATGCCATCACTGCACATCAAGTTATTCCTCATCAAGCAATTTTTCATTTGCTCTTGAAAAGGAGTTAACACTTTTTAAGTACTTCCATAATCTTTCTCTGAAACTATCCAAAGCTTAAGAGCTGCATAAACATAAATATGACAACTTTTTTGTTCTGTCAGAAAGGAAAATGAAATGTTTTACACAATTTTATTTGTATAACTTTTTATCTTTTTGCCTATTTTTTCTTCTTATATAACCTCAATGTCTTCTTGTTTGTATAAATATTTATTACTATTCTTCCTGTTTTTTTCTTATATAACTTTTATGTTTGTAAAAGTATTCTTTACACTGTTGTCTTTACAATGCTTAAATCTAACGATAGTATTTTTAACAATCAGATTTAAGTAACAGATTTAAGATCATATTTAAGGAACACATTTGAACATCAGAACTGGGACAGATTTAAATGGCAACATTTCTTTTAAATAAATTTGATATTACAAAAGTGTCGACATTATAAAACCTTATATTTTAAACCTCTATGCTAAAAATATTTCTGCAACCTGTATTTAGTTGTCTTGGAAAGTTTTCAATTATCAAGACAATAGATTTTGGCTTGATGATTGGAGAATTTATTGCTGAATCAGTTTTAGATTTTAAAAAAGCTTTTAAAAATCTGCAGGTCTGCATATTTTAAGAAGTTTACCTACCAATTAGCTGAAAAGTTCACATTTGAGCTTTTTAACAACTATTATAAGAAATCACAATTTTATTTAAAAAATTCTTAAAAATTTAATAACCTTATAACAATAATTGAACAGCAACAACAAAAAACTAAACTAAAATTTAGATTAGTCTCAGGAGATATATAATTACTAAACATTAATTAATATACAAATAATAACTTGTATACAAATAATGAATTTATATAGAATTTTTTTAGTATAAAAACAACAACAAAAAACAACATAAATATCATACTTGTTAATATAGTTTTTCGTTTGTGTTGCTCAGCTAATGCACCATGAGCTTTACCAGATAGTGTAAAAGGAGTTTCAAATACAAAACGTCGAACATTATTTTCACGTTCAAATTCAGTGATTCTACTCTTATATTCATCTTCATCAAAGTAAGGAGTCACAAACGAAACCTAAATGTAGTGACAAGATATATATATATATATATATATATATATATATATATATATATATATATATATATATATATATATATATATATATATATATATATATATATATAGAACATGAAGGGTTTATTTATTACTATTACAATATTAATTTCGGTGAATATTTGTGATAAAGATTGTAGCAATAATAGAATATTTGTCATGCACATGAAAATAGCTCAAAGATTATTGAAATTTGAAGAGCTGAAAGTAGAAAAAGCAGAGTTGAGTATAGAAAAACTGTTATTGTTACATTAGGTTAGGTTATTTAAAATAGAAAATTACTTTAAAAACCAATATTTCTCAAAATGCAGTCATGAGAGCTTTGCAAAGAAAGCATGAAACCCACTATGCTTAAAAGAGCTGACCATGCACTTAGCTTACTTAGTCACTAAAAAACATGCAGATCAAAAAATATGCTAAAAATTTCTAAAATAATGTTTAAAAAAAAAAAAAAAATCAGGTGTTTGCACAAAAATTTGATGAACTTAAAAATAACTAGGCACAAGATCTTTATCTTTGCAAACATTTTAAATATACAACTAGTTGAAAAAAATAAAGAATATTTTAAAAAGTTCCATAAATTTCCCATGATTTTTAAGGAAAATTTAGGACTTTTTCAACGACTAAATGAAATTCCATGACATTTACATGATCAGTGGCCACCCTGATATTGTAAACAATATGTAACTAACAATTATAGGAAAAATCTGTTCAAAAAAAATATTAAAAAAGATACTGTATGATCTTTGTAAATGTCTATTTTGCTTATGCGACACTATGATCGCAAAAAGTGACCAACGGAGCCGTCCAGTTACGTAGACCTGGGAGATGTGAAAGTAAAAACAGATTGAAGATGATGTCATTTAGGTAAAAAAACATAAATTAATGCAAAGACTATTTAGTTGGAAGAGTAAAAGTAAGCAACTCAGGAAAAGGGGAATAAAAACTCACACTCTAGTCATCTTTTAATAAATGATGAAATAATGATCTATGAGTAAACAAGTCAATAAAAATCCGCTGGTTTATAATGGTATTCATAACTAAAATAATCGCACCATACAAGTGTCTAATAAATGTGGTACTATATATGTTCTAAACTCTAGATAAAAAATTGATAACTGATAATCACCTGTGTAACATAAAAAATATATAAATGTCGTAAATGTACCAAATTTATAATAAAAAGCTCATAAAGCGCAAAAATACATGGGTTTAAGAGGTAAAAAAATGTTGGTGCCATAATAACCAATTAGAATTAAGTAGTGGATAAATGGTGATCCCCCTCCTCAGGAATGCACTGCGATCACCAATGACGTTTCGGAGAGCCCGAGACCTGCACTAACGCCACTCGTCAGGGGCGTGTCCTTGCAACAGATCTCACCGCCTGCACTCTACGTCATGCTAGTCAATATTGCAATATAATAGGACTACACTACAAAAGCCAAAAAACCAATCCCTATCCCAGTTTTTGAAAACAGCTCCAACATTCTTAGAGATCTCGTGAGGGTGGTGAGGAGTGCGCGTGGTGTGACCATAAATAGATATGTAAACACATATAAATATAAGGTACCCTAACATTAGAAGAAACAAACTTGTACACATGTACCTATGCGCGTGTGTAAATAAACAATTATAATGTGTAGAAATAACAAAAAGCGAATAGAAAATAGTAATTAATAATTAATAGTAATTTACCGTTTCTTTTATGGCTAAAATATGTATTATAAATATAATAAGTAAATACCACTCATAAGCATTGATACTAAGTTAGGATGTTTTGTGGTTAGTACGAAAGTAGTTAAACGAAAGTATGATAAAAAAATATATAACTCTAAATAGTATGTTCTAATATAAATCTTGCCTGGTAAGTAGAGACAATAGCTATCACACAATACAGACTCAGAGTAATTAAATAACGATTAGCCAGAGATAAAAAAATATACGAACATCAAATCAGTAGGCAGAAAATAATGAGGAAATAAAAAGATAAGCCAATATATGCGATTTTAAACTAATAGCTTATAACCAATAAAAAATGTAACGTTAAAAAACAATATTGTTGACAAAATGACCAAAGGAAAGTTAGTGAAGACTGTATAGTGCAAACCACAACAAACTAACTTAGCGACGTCAAATCGAGAAAATTAGATAGAAACAAAAAAACCTAATGAAATCGTGATTAGTCTAAACTTTTCTAATGAAATTGTTCAGTATATACCAACCAAGAATACATTTGTTATAAAAAATACGCTAATACGTACTTTTGTGTAAAATTTTCGCGCTGTTATACTTCTCACAAATATACGGCCTCATTCACACATAATACAAATCTGAATAAATATACAAGGATAGGGTAAAATAAGATTATGAACAAAAGTATATAATAAAGAACAAATATTTGATATACTGGTTTTAGAGGCCGTTCATGTCTACAGGTGTGATGGTGTAGTGCATTAGTATGTGCCGTTTGGTCGTCTAGTATGGTCTCGTTATGTCTTCGTTCACTTTCAAATCGGGTGAATAGAAAGCTAAACACACTCACTCCTTGCGCTTATGGGCTAGCAAAAATAGAAAATTACTTTAAAAACCAATATTTCTCAAAATGCAGTCATGAGAGCTTTGCAAAGAAAGCATGAAACCCACTATGCTTAAAAGAGCTGACCATGCACTTAGCTTACTTAGTCACTAAAAAACATGCAGATCAAAAAATATGCTAAAAATTTCTAAAATAATGTTTAAAAAAAAAAAAAAAATCAGGTGTTTGCACAAAAATTTGATGAACTTAAAAATAACTAGGCACAAGATCTTTATCTTTGCAAACATTTTAAATATACAACTAGTTGAAAAAAATAAAGAATATTTTAAAAAGTTCCATAAATTTCCCATGATTTTTAAGGAAAATTTAGGACTTTTTCAACGACTAAATGAAATTCCATGACATTTACATGATCAGTGGCCACCCTGATATTGTAAACAATATGTAACTAACAATTATAGGAAAAATCTGTTCAAAAAAAATATTAAAAAAGATACTGTATGATCTTTGTAAATGTCTATTTTGCTGAGCACTTATTTCATTAACTAAAAATTTATTTCAGACTTTATATAAGAGGAGCGCTGTAAACTAGCAATAAAAACTTGGAAATAAAAAAGAAAAAAAAAGAAAAAAAAAACTTTCTATATTTGCATATGCTTGTAAAAAACATACCTGCACATAATTAACTGCTGGATTTAATTCTTCTGGTTTTACCTATAATCAAAATAAAATTCATATATAGTACCTGGTTCACCTATATATAGTACCTGGTTCACCTATAAATAAAACAGAAACAAAAACAGATATATGTTCAAAAAAAAAAAAATTAAATCTACTCAAAACATTAAAAAAATACATCAAATTTATTTACACAATAAAAAAGTTGAACATTTCCTTCATTATTATTATTATTATTATTATTATTATTATTATTATTATTATTTTACACAGTAATAAAGTTGATCATTTACTGTTTTGAAAAAAATTTATGTTTGACAACATACAGCATACATTTTACAGCTTATAGCTACTATATGGCTACTTGTAATAACTGAAAAAGTTAACCTTTAGTTTTAAGTTTTAGTTGAAGGAGTGTTGACATTTAAATATTGAATTGTTATTAAAGGAGTGTTAACATTTAAATATTGAAGGAGTGTTGAAGGAGTGTTAAACAATTTATACTTATTTATACATTTAAACAATTTTTACTTATTTCAATTGGTATTTTATTTAAATTTATTTTTTAAATTGCATATAGATTTTATGCAACAAGTCTGTAAAAGCATTAGAAAGAAAGAAAAAAAGTTAAACTGATATTTAGATTACAGACTGTGTTTAAAACTTTACAAAAGTTTTAAACAGTCAACGTGCTGTAAAAGCCACAAAAAAAAAAAAAAAATCAACAACATGAACGTTACCGAATACTTCCAAAATCTAGATTACAGTTAAATCGATTTGTTAAAATGGAAACAAAAAAATTTATTTTGAATAAATGAAAGTCTAAAGTGAATAACTGAGTTGATGTGCTTTGTTTAAAAAAAAAATTGAATTTTTTTTTTTTTAAACAAAGCACATCAACAAAATATTTACTTTCAACAAAATTTAAAACATTATGGAAATAAAGAAATAAAGGAATTAAAAAATAATATAATAATAATATAATAAAAGAAATAATATAGAGAAGCAAACGACAAATATATATACAAAACTTAAAAGACTAAAACTTAAAATAATAAATAAAAATAATTACTTTTGAAGAATCTTGTATTAATTTTACATTGCCATACTTCGAGTTGTATTTTTCGCTTAACCGTAGAGATATTTCAGATAGAGATGTTACTTTTGGTTCTTTATAAACAAATTCTTTTCCATCACTCTCTTTGAATACCTAAAAAACATAAAAAAAAAAAAAAATCATGAGATGTAATACTCATCACTTTCATTAAAATGTTTAGTGTAAAGTCTTTATGCTGGTGACTTGAGAAATGTTTAGTGCAAAGGCTTTATGCTGTTAATTTGAAAAACGCTTAGCTTAATGAGAAATTATACAAATTAAATTATTTTTTGTTGAATAAAGTTGAACTTAATGGTGAAATAAATAAATTGAAGCTAGTGAACATTAATTCAGATAAAACTCAATTTTTTTCAGCCAACCGTTATCGCAATAATTTAGACCTTCCTATATTTATGAACAGTAATGTACTTGATGAGTCATCTACTCTTCATCTTCTAGGATTAACTCTCACTTCTGATCTTTCTTGGAAAACTTATATCAAATCCGTTGCAAAATTAGCATCTGCTAAAGTTGCATCTCTTTATCATGCTTGACACTTTCTTACTCTGGATTCTATTCTCTATCTCTATAAATCTCAAATCCGACCTTGTATGGAATACTGTTGCCATATCTGGGGCGGATCTTCTAATGATGCCCTTTCTCTTTTAGACAAGGTGCAAAATTGTATTATAAACATAGTTGGACCTACTCTTGCAGCGAACCTTCAACCTCTGTCACATCGTCGTAATGTTGCTTCTCTTTCTCTTTTCTACAAATACTATAATGGGCACTGTTCTAAAGAGCTAGCGTCTCTTGTGCCATCTACTAAAACACATTCTCGTGTTACTTGTCATTCAATTTAGGCTCATCCTTTTTCTGTTACTGTTCCTAAGTGCTCCAAAAACTCTTATTCGCCTAGTTTTTTTCCTCGAACATCAGTTCTTTGGAATTCGCTTCCTTCATCTTGCTTTCCTGATTCATATAATTTGCAATCTTTTAAGTCATCTGTCAATCGTTATCTTGCTCTGCAACCTTCATCTTTTATCTTCCAGTAACTTCCAACACTAATTAGTGGTTGCTTGCAGCCTTGTTGGAAGCAAAGATGTTGAAAAAAAAAAAAAAAAAAAAAGTTTAACTGTATAAATATTTTTTTATTTTGATAAAACAGCACAGGGCAACAAAATAAACAAAATTGTAAAGGAATGGTAAAGAATAAGTATCAAATGATAAGTAGAAAATGATAGAGATTAACAATGTGTGTGTGCATTTTAAATGTTTTATTTTCATAGAACTTACTACTTCTTAGAAAAATAATTTTTTTTTCTTTATGAATAATTAAAAATCTTTTATGGATGGGATCTTCGAAAACAATTTTTTGTAGAATATTTATTCTTTATTTTCTTAGCTAGAAAATGTTGACAGAGAATAAATAGAAAGATAATGAACATAATAATGATCGAAACAGGGAAATTGAACGTAGAGCATTTGATTTGTAAGTTTCTCTTGTAAAATGTCACACACAGAAAAGCTTACACAATTACGGCTTAATCTTTGAGCACAAATATTGTCAATAATTGTCAAAGGCTGACCAGAGATAACAATACATGACCACATATAACCATGGCTTTTAGCTCATTAAAATTGTAAAAATTCTAATTTAAAAATGATAATAAGTTATATGTTAATATGTGTAAAAAGTTTTTTTTAATTAACATTTATGAATAACTGATGTTGCAGCATCTCAAGTTATTACCAATTTTTTTTTATTATTGCACAAACACTGACATAACTTTGCATAATAGCATAAAGGTTTACATTTAAACACCAAGTTCTTTTGTGTAAATTATTTCATATTATTTATGTTGATGCCCACTCTGGTTTATTCTCATACAATAAATTAATTCATGTTATTCATGTTCCTGCTCTCTCTGGTATATTTGATAACAGAATTCAATTTTTTATTTTAAGATATTTGTGCTTAACTACAGTTAAGTTTTTACTTTTATTTCAATTAATAGTTTATTACTTAAAAACAAGTATTTGGTATAATTTTGATTTAAAATGTTAATATAGTAAAATTATAGGGAAAGGGTTTTAATGGTTTACGATTGCAACATATATATGGTTTGCTATTGGAACATATATTTAAATAAATAAATACAAAAGCAGTTATGATAAATTATAAACAATTTCAATAAGTTCATAACTAATCTTAAATAAAGTTTTCAAAGATCAAAATATTTCTTTCATTTCAAAAATATAAGCACATGAGATCTTTAAAGGTACAAACGGATACTTTAGTTTAAAACAACAAGATCAGATCTTAAGTCAATAATTCTTGAAATTTGTTTATTTTAATTTTATGTTGAAAAAATATTATACGTATTATAAAAAAATATTATAAGTATTACACTGACTTATAATATTTTTTTATAATAAGATTTGTACATAGGAGTGTATAAATCTTTTATGGTAGAAATCAAAATTTTTTTCAAAAAAAAAAAAAAAATCAACAGCCTTGTGACCATGTTGTAGATGTCCCTCCCTTCTTACCAGAGATGCAAAACATAACTAATCACAGTCGAGTGTTTTTTTTACTTAGTAATAACCCTGTTATTACATATTGATTCACCAAGAAAAAATATGGATATATCTGTGCAAAAGGTATCTTTTGTTTTCATATGGTTTCTAAAAAGTGCATTGCCAACATAAGCAATACTTTTAACATTTTGTGTTTTAACTCTATATAAGAAGTAACCTAATAACTGGTTAACATTCAACTTTGGGCACATATTAGTGATAAAATTGTTTACATAATTGAAAAGATTCTGAGTCCACTTTTTTTTTTTTTTAATGTTAATCCATGTAGTGGCCTTCATAGCCCAAGGCCATGAAGGCCACTACAGTCGAAGAGGCTACCGAAATCATGTTTACAACCCTCTCTCATATCTTTAACTCTGAAGCACAAACCTTAATAAACAAGGCTGCTGCCCGAAGAATGTTGAGTGTGGTACTATCAGGGACATTGTGGAAATTGAATTCAGAACTTCTCGCTTATGAGGTGAGCGCTCTACCACTACAGCACTACCACATTTAGTTTTTCTTTTACATCTTATCACCCAGTTCTATGAAAGATTTTTTTTGTTTTGAAACACAGGGTTCTGTTATGTAAACATCCTCTACCTCATAAATAATATCTTTTAATGCATGCGAAATTATAAATACATATCTATTTTTCTTGAAAAGATTTTCTTTAAGGCGTTTATAAGGTCTACATGCTTTTTCTAACACCTCTTTAAATTCATTTGAATTAACTGATAGTCCAAAGTTTTTAAAAAACATTTCTTTAATGGCTAAATATGTTAAAAATACAGCCTAAATATGTTAAAAATACAGTTTTGTCAACTTTAATAAATTGTGTGAAAAATCTACTCCAGTGGTGTAATTCAAATTCCTATTTTTCTTCATCTGCAATAAATCTTGAAGTTCTACCCAGATGTCCCAATAATATGGCTGAACATTTATTTTTAAGTTTACTTATGCAGAAACAAAAAATAAAATAAAATAAAATAAATATATAAAAGTTAAATACTTTTTAAATTTGTAACCAAAAATAAAATATGCACAATCGCAACCAAAAATAAAACATGCACAAATTGTGCATGTTTTATTTTTGGTTACGATTGTGCAGCACAATCGTAACCAAAAATAAAATATGGTGGTGGTGTAGTGGTAGAGCACTCGCCTCATAAGCAAGAAGTTCTGAGTTCAATTCCCATCATGTCCCTGGTAGTACCATGCTTCACTTGTTTCTCTGTGCAGTGGCCTTGTTCATCAAGGTTGTGTTTCAGAATTATAGAGTTAAGAGAAGGTTGTAACCACTACTGAAGTCTCTTTGACTGTAGCGGCCATCATTGCCTTGGGGAGGTGAATTGAAAATAAATAAAAAATTTAAGAAGAAAAATAATTGCTCTTCTATTTTTTTAAATCATGTAAATGAAATAAATGTGCTAATTTACCTCTGTTCCCTTTAGAACATTTTAAAGGGATCCCTAAGTGCTCCTAACATATGATCTCATATGAAAGAGCATAAAAAAAAATATGTAAGTTTTTTTTCTTTTTCACTAAATTGTAATAATAAATGCATGCTAACAAAAAGCAATTGCCGAAATCACTGAAAAACAACTCCATTTTAATTTTATTTTTTTACCATTGAAACTCGATTGTTAGTTGTTAAAAATCATGTTAGTACGTCACAATAATTTTAGAATATCTACTTCGATTTTCAAGTAAAAAAAAGTCGAGATTAAATAGTTAAGTTTTAATCAAGTTTTTTTAATTAGTTTTGCAAAAACAGTATAATAGAATTCAGTTGAAAGACGTCTTTAAAAAAAGGTTATTAAGTAATAGTTTTAAATAGTTTAGAACTCTAGTTTAGAAAAAGTCTTACAGGGCTCATATTGAAAAGCAATCGCGATCGCGATTGCTTTTCACACTTTCGTGATTAGCTTTTTTCTTAAAAGAAATCTTTTCGCGATTTTTTTTTTTTTTTTGGTTGTTTAATTACTTTTTTTCTTGCTTAGCATTTTTTTTAGCAATTCTTAAAAGTAATGTTTTTATCATAAAGAACGTCACATAAAATTAATTATTAGATAGATGAATAGATGATTTGCTCGTTCGCGCGGAGATTTTCTTTCAACGTAAAACATTTTTGAATTTAAATTACTTTAAATCTCTGTGTGGAAAATTTTTACAAGGTCGTTAAAGGACAAAACATTGAAAAGTTGGTTTTTATCTTTGTTTATCAAAACCTCATGTTTAAAATAAGGCTTAAAAACGTTAGAGCAAAAAAATTACTGACTTTTATTTGCATTTTTATACTGTTTGAAAAAAAAACTAATAAAAAAGAATTAATTATTATTACTAGCAGTAAGCAACCTGTAATACAGGTTATTAGTAAATAAAATTAAAAAAAAAAAAAACGTGTATAGAAAAGCCTAGAAACTACTTTAAAATAGAAAAGCCTAGAAAATGACGTAAGTCGATTATTAACTACTAGTATTAAATTAGCATATTAATATTATCAGATTATTAATTTTAATAATTATTAATTAATATATCATTAGTTAATTCTTTTTTATTAGTTTTTTTTTTTAAACAGTATAAAAATGGTAATAAAAACTAGCAATTTTTTTACTTTAACGTTTTTAAGCCTTATTTTAAACATGAAGTATAATTTGATTTATTAAACCAAATTTTTTTGTTTCATCTTTTATTGGAAAACTTGAAATAGAAAAATTGAATAAAAACATCAACCATTTAAATGAAAAACTTAATTATATTTAAACTTTTATTAGTCTTTTATTCAAGAAACAATAAATTATAAAAAACGTGGTATCTAATTTTTTATTAAGTTTTTGACGATGTTTTTTGATTTATTGACGATAATTTTTTCCCCCCATTACCGCACATCTGCGCGAGCTATAAGTGAGAGAGGGGGAGAGCAAAAAAAAATTTTTTTTTTCGCCATTAGATTTTTTTGCGTTAATTCGAGCCCTGTCTTAGTTTAATTTCTAATAAAATGTCTATTCAACCTTATCAATTTGAACCAAAAAAAATATAGCAAAATTAACATAAATGTTAATTTTACTAAAACATTTTACAATAATTATTTTTTTTATCAAGCAAAAATGAGAGTAACCGTCACTTTTGAAACCATAAAAATGACTGAAATAAATTTATTTTTGTACTAAGGAAATATTTTAAATAAACTTTCATGCGTCTACATCAATACTCATTTGTTAAAAACTGACTAAAAAGAGTTTAAAATTTGACTTCTATTCATTTTTGGCTGTGGAATTGCCCTTATAACACAAATATATAAATAAAAATTATAAAAAAAATTTTAATATACAAATATATTTTCACAAAATGCTACAAAACTTATTCTTGTAAGTAATTGTGTTAGTCAACTTTACTTTTAAATTTAATTACCAACTAATAAGTTTGCAATAATGACATTTTGTCTACTTTGTTTAATTTGACGTACAAGTTAGTTTTTTGAGGCAATAGAGTCAATAAACTTTGAACAAGACGCATTTTTTTTAATTGAAGAAAAGCGTTTTTTGAAAACTAAATTTGTTAGTGTGTGTTCATTATTACGTTTTAGAAAAAATAATATACATCAAACATTTTTTTTTTTAATGTTCTTTCATTTGAGATCATATCTTTATAGCACTTAGGGATCCTTTAAAAGAATTTTTAAAATGTACGACACAGCGTGTATGATGCAGGTTAACACTTTTGAAAAAACTTAGAATTTAATCTGGTTTTTTTTAAAAAAAAAAAAATTTACAAACAGTACTTTTTGCTTACAAAATGAGCTAACACAACACTAATACCACTACTGGGTTGAGAGACAGGTATAACAACAATCAAATAAAAATATAAAAAATAAATTAAATGTAAAAAGTAGCTTCTATGACTTTTGTTTGCCCCCCCCCCCCTTCCTCGACCAAGCCATTAAGAAAAAGTGAATATTTTAAAATATTTTAAAAATAAGCAATTTAAAACATAACAAACAAATACCCTTCCGAAAAATGCCACTCTGTAATATCTTCCTAAAATTCTTTTTCCAGAAATTGTGACCTGAACTACTTTTTCATATGATTCTTTTAACACACCATATGCCAATGCTAAGCACTAAAAATAAATTAGGATATTAAATAAATAAACTATCAAAAAAAAAGATCTGTTTTATGTTGTGCAAGCAAAAAAGTCAGTATTAATGAAAAAAAAGATGGTGAGAGTCTATAGAGTCTATAAAACTCATATAGCAATAGTTATAAATATATATACAAATTTATCTATTTTTATAACACACACACACACAGACAAACACAAACACACATAATGATTTATTGAACGAGTTAATAATTTTCTTCTAAATAAGAGAAAGAAAGAGAACTTGTTTTCTTCTTAAGAATAATTTTTCTTCTTCACAAACTTTTAATTTACTTACACTATATTTATATTTTTAATCTATTTTAAAAAATACCTGATAGTTCCTTTCTTCTTCATACAATGGTATAGCAAGCTTGTAAACTTCCCCAACTATCTCATATCTTTCAGCCAATTTTAGACGCTCAACACTCACTTCAAGTAACTCAATTAAATTTTTCTAAAATGAATTTAAAATCTAATTAAATATAAAAATGTCTTAAAAAAACAAACATTCTATTTGAAATTAAAACTTTAAATCAAAAACAAAAAAAAAAACAACACCTGGACAAACTTGTTTCTCTGTTTGTCGAGACTATAGAAGGGTTAAAATAAAAAATAAAACAAATTTTTTAAATAAATAATTGTTAAAACTGTCTTTTTAACATGTAAAATTTTTTTCATGGCTTTAAATTTTTTTGACACAATTTCATATTTTTTAAGACCCAGGTTGAGAGTTTTAAAGAACCTTTTGATAATATTTTTTAAGACCCAGGTTGAGAGTTTTAAAGAACCTTTTGATAATATTTTTTAAGACCCAGGTTGAGAGTTTTAAAGAACCTTTCGATTCACCCATTAAATCTCCAAAACTATGTAGCACTCGTAAATATATTTTAAAACAATTTTTTAAAACAAATTTCTTGAATTTATTGTTAAATTTAGAAAACATTATAAAATAGATTTATTTATATAGTTATTTTGAGCACCGCTCTAGTTCTTATTTGCATTTGTATATTACTTTCTTGCTGTTTTACATTTTCAGTTTGGCTTTAGTATTCTTTCACTTTTTCAACATTAATCGCAAAATTATCAAATATATAAATAAATATATAAATAAAATTAAAATATAATCTACCAGGGTATATCTTGTCTCAGCTGTGTCTCCTTCATCATCATTAAGTCTACTTTCATCAGGTATTAAATTTGGTGATATAGCTTTAAAACTTGAGCAGCCATGAGCATACATACTTTTAGCTTTTAAATATTCTGCAACAAGCGCAGCAGAATGTATATAACACATTGCAGCCTAAATGTTAAATGTTATGTAGTGATGCTATTTCGTGCATATACTATCAAGAAAGTACTTGATGAACTAAGTCAGAGCTATAATATATATAGAAGAAAATAAAACTACGTGATTTTTACAACTTTAAGGTATTTCACCTAATGATTGTAACAGCATGAAACTTAAAGTTGTGAAAATCACTTAATTTTATTTTCTACTATATATATATATATATATATATATATATATATATATATATATATATATATATATATATATATATATATATACACAAATATATATATTCATGCACACATACTCACACTAGTTTAAGAAATATGTAATCTTCATACCTCAGAGTAGTCACCTTTTTTTTCATGAATTATGGCCATACTTTCTAACCATGTTTGACGTAATTCAGGTGTACTAGCATATGACTTAGCAAGACTGTATTGAAGATCAACAAGAACTTCATGATCATCTTCATGCTCCTAACAAATATAAATAATAAAGATAAGATTTTTTTTTCTCTTTACAAACTAAAAAAACCCAGCAGTTAAATGCAACAGCAAACTTAAATTATCATGAAATTATTTCTTATACATGAATTTAGCGTACAATTCTATTTTATTTTTTTGTTGACCTAGATTTTTTTCTGAAAAAGAAGAAAAAAACAAATTTTAAAAAAGACAAAAAAAAAAAAAAAAAAAAAAATCATATTGCTGCTAAAAACACTCAGTCGATGTAGCATTAATTGGTTTGCATGTTCTCCCTAAATTAATTGATGATTTATCAAATGAAATAAATAATTGATACTGAAGCCCTCTCAGTTCTCTAAATCAGTATGACTTCAGATAGGCGATCTAAATGTGCTTTTACATTTAGATCGCCTATCATTTTATATATATACACATACATACATACATACATATATATAAATATATATATATATATATATATATATATATATATATATATATATATATATATATATATATATATATATATACATATATATAAATTATAATAGTTATTATTATAATTATTGATGCTTTAAATTCAGTTCTAAAGCTGTTTTTGATATTTAGTTATAAAAACACTGAATAAAAAAAAAATTACTTTCATCTGTGAAGTAGCATGGAGCACAGTGTGTACTTTTTTAATGAGATCTCGAACTTCACCAGAAAACTCTGTAGTCTAAAATAAAATTAATCATCATAATATCAATTCCTAATATTAAACATTTTTAAAATTAATGTCTGTTATGGCCATGCATAATGACCATTTATGTTTCCTTTGTATCAAGAAAAAAAAAAAAAAAAAAAATTGCTAGAAGCTATACATATTATACATTGAATTATTTTCTGTTTAAAACTAATAAAACATTTTAATAGCTTTCTAACAGCTTTTATTTATTATTTTAATATGTTTAAGTCTTTAATGTCAATATTGATTCCAATATTGACATTTAAGTCATTGATATAATCATTGATATATTTATTACATTTTATTATATTTAAAAAGTTTTTAACTTTGTAAAACCTGATTAATTTTAATATTTAAAATATTAACATAAAAATTGATGAAAAATATTTTCAATTGGTTACAACAAATGTTATAAAAATACGCAAAATTTTTTTTTACTTTCATTCCTTTGTCTTCAATAGCATAGTTTTTCAATGTTACCAATGATTGACTCATTGACGCTCTATTCATGCCAGAAGCTATTAACTTAGAAACTGCCACAATAACCTTGTAGTAAAACAAACCTTGAAATTTATAAAAGTTTTATACTTCCAATAGTTTTTATAAAAAATGTATGTATGTATGTATGCATGTATGTATGTATGTATGTATGTATGTATGTATGTATGCATGCATGCATGCATGCATGCATGCATGCATGTATGTATGTATGTATGTATGTATGTATGTATGTATGTATGTATGTATGTATGTATGTACGTATTTATGTGTGTATGTATGTATGTATGTATGTATGTATGTATGTATGTATGTATGTATGTATGTATGTATGTATGTATGTATGTATGTATGTATGTATGTATGTATGTATGTATGTATGCTTATATATATACTAACATACAAACATTATTCAAATAAGTCTTTTTAAGATTTTGAAATAGTTTAAATGCATTTTTGGTTGTCATAAAATCTACAAAAGAAGATTGAACCATTATTGATATTGCAACATTTTGGAAAATATGCCCTCCATAATTTAATTGAGGCTGATCAAAACTGGTTATTTCAACAAGAAAACGTTAAATGTCATTTAGCACATACAATCATCCATTATTTTGTTGAAAGCAGTATTTGACTTAGTTAATACAATCATCTGACTTTATCCTGATTAAACATTTATGGAGCTGGATAGACTATTAACTAACCAAAAAACATAACAAGTAACAAATGCTATAAAAAAAAACTATCAAAACTGTGACTTGAAATACCAACCAAGATGGTTAAAATCCTTAATTTTGTAGGTGCTTATAAACTTTATTGCACTTTTTAATTTTTTGGCTACATGTATTTAATTACATACTAATTACTTGTATTTAATTAACTTTTTGGCTACTTGATTTAATATTTCATTTCAGAAATATTTTTAACTTATCTCTTTTCAAATTTGTGTTTTTATCTTAATAATAATAATAATAATAATAATAATAATAATAATAATAATAATAATAATAATAATAATAATAATAATAATATATATATATATATGTATATATATATATATATATATATATATATGTATATATATATATATATATATATATATATATATATATATATATATATATATATATATATATATATATATATATATATATATATATATATATATATATATATATATTAACCCTCAGAATTAGGGTTGGCATTTGGTTTAAGGTCAGCAAAAAATTGCTGACCTCGTTTTTATGTTTTATGGTAACTCCTTTGTATCAAATTTTTTTTTGCCGACCTTATGCCGACCTCTAACAGTTTGAGGTTGGCAATTTATTGCCAACCTTATTTTTCCTAATTCCGAGAGTTTATATATATATATATATATATATATATATATATATATATATATATATATATATATATATATATATATATATATATATATATATATATATATATATATATATTAATGAAGAAAAAATAACTTTTTCTATGGTACTTTAAGTTTCATGCCTATACCACAATCATCAGTCATTGAATACAAAAGCAAAAGCAAAAAAACCTGCTAAAAATTACAAAATACTGTGTAGTGGGATCTTTACATTGCTAAAAAACATAATGAAAAATAACTAAAGAAAAAAACAAAATAGCTAATCACTGGTGTCAAATTAGCTAAAAGACATAATGAAAAATAACTAAAGAAAAAAACAAAATATTAGCTAATCACTGGTGTCAAAAAATAATAAGAGGAATTTATTATTAATTTTATATCCCAAAGTTTTTAGTTAACCTGCATTTTGAAATCAACTCATTTCATTTATTTAACAAGTTTTCACCTTTATATGTTAAAATAAGGAATTTTTCGTATAAGCAAAGGTGCAAACTTTTGACGAGGAGTTATAAGGATTGTAACAATATGTATAACACTTAATTTGAAATATCTTTTTAGTATTGAGCACTCTTTTACCACTATGAGTTTTGTTTTATTATTATAATATTATTATAATACAAAACACCCTTAAATATCAATATATATCAATATATATATATATCAATATATATATATATCAATATATATATATATATATATATATATATATATATATATATATATATATATATATATATATATATTATTTGATACACTTTTGGTTCTACTTAAATGAGAGGTTACACAAAAATGAGAGGTGGGTGAGAGGTGGTTTTTTAATTCAATTATCTTTAGGAAAATTTAAAACTTTGTTAACTAAAAAGTTGTAATAAAAAACAAAACAAAAAAGTTACAAATCAAAGAAAAACTTAAAAATATATTTAGTTTAATTCACCTGATGATGAACTCTAACACAACCATTACCACTGTAGTCATAATTGCAACGCATAAGTAAATACATGAAACAACAAGCCTATAGATAAAATTAGCACATATTACCTCAAAATAAGTAAATAAACCTTTAAAAACTGCGTGAAACAAATATAGCATAATAATAAAAAAATAATTATGATAAGTAAAAAGTAAAAAAAAATATATAAACAGGTTACCTGTGTACGAACACTTTCAATTTTTGAATTACACAAACATAAAATCTAAAAGTTAAAAAAAAAAATTATCAGAATGAGAAACCATAAAATTATGTTTACTATTCAAATATAAAAATTAAAGCTTAAAGACTTGAAGATTTTAAAAATAAAAATTAAAAAAAATAAATAAAATAAAAATAAAAAATTCAAAGAAATTGCAAAGGAAAAACAAATTAATGAAACCTCATAGCACAAAACACCACAAAGATTTGAACTTCCTTTAAACAATGATGTTGGAAACTAAATGTAGTAGAAATTTATGATTCACTGCAGCATTCAATTTTAATTCAATTTCTATATTAACTCAAAATTTAAAATTAAATTAAAAAAACAAAAATACTTTTTGAATAAAACTGCGAAGCGTAGCAAAGACATGTTTCATTATACTTTCAGATTGCGGGACACGAAGAAATGTCATCATAACATTAAATATCTAAAATAAAAAAATTTTAAAATTTAAAAAACTTGCAAAATAAAGAAATTGCAAAATAAAGAAAAATTATAGCTTTTTAAAAATTCTATTTCACCTGTTTCATTAAAATGTTATCCCCTTCATCTTGCTCCAGATGAAACTAATAAAATAATATATAATAAAATAATATGCATAACATTTAAGAATGTATGTCAGTTATTTGATGTGTCACTTTACAACAATAACAATAATTTGATGTGTCACTTTACAACAATATGGCAGTTATTTGATGTGTCACTTTACAACAAAAGCATGCAAAGTGATGAAAAAAAAAGAAAAAGTTATTCATATATTTAGAACATCAAAAGTTTTTTCTAACCTTTTCAAAACTACTATAACATATAAGAAAAGTTTTTTCAATTCAACATTTACAGACAATTTTTAATTTCTTCTTTGAAATATTTTTTTAAAAAATTGTTTTGAAATAAGTAAAACAAACTAATTCTCAACTTTTCTCCTTTATTAGTGCATCAGTAAAGTATTTTTTTTAATTTAATACAATATTTATAAATTAAAAATAACAATATTTATAAATTTGGCCTTGTGGTTGAATTTCATAAACATGACACTAATAATGTATGATTTAATTAAAACACATTAAACTAAAACATTTGTTTATGGTTGGAAACTCTTTCCTAATTATATAAATTTTAACAGTCTAAAGGTTATATAAACCATTATTACTTAAGCTAAAATAAATAAGCAATCCTTGCAACATGTTTTTTTAATTAAAAAAGATTCAATCAGTTAAAATATATTTTGTTATAAAAGAATTTTTAACTATAAAAAAATGTTTTAAACTTTATTACAGAACAAACCTTTTCAAAATAGTAACATTTAAAAATTTTATGCAATCTTGTTTTTCATTTTTTATTATTATTTTTTTAAATATTTGGACACACTTTTATTAATAGTAAAATTGTTTTTAACATTAAGACATAATTGCTAATTCCTTATATTAAAATAAAAAAAAATTCCTTATGTTAAAGAAAAAAGTAAACTAAATTAAAAAAAAAAAAAAATACTTTGAAATGAGCACAAAACAACTCAAGCATATCTAAAACAACCAAAGAAACTTCCGCTGAAAGGTTGGTGTCCAAACTGTTTCGTGATATTTCAGAACTTGTGGTTATTTGAGAAACATTGCTAGCTAAAGGCAGAAGGTTTAAAAAACTAAAATACTTTAAAATTCTTAAACCAGTTAAAAATTTATTTTTTAATTTAGAATGTGAATGCATTGTTATCTGTATTTAAATTAGAAACTAAAGAACACTTACCACTACTGCTTGATCTCATATGATTTGCATGATCTCGCATAATAGCAGAAGTGCGAAATGATTGCTTATTTATAGAAGAATATTTATTTTCAAAAAATTGCTTTGCAATGTCTGAAGTACTAAATTTAAACGAATTTTTATTACAACATAATTAAATAGCATCATAATGACAATTATGTATTACATATAATAATAACAAAAACAATGTAAACCCAATAATTGCTTAATTATAAAATAAATCAAGTTTTATATTCATTTTTTTTTTAAAAAATTCAAAACACTGTTAAAAGTATTAGAGTGTTCAACTGATAAATAAAAAATTACAAATATTACAGATGTTATTTTATCTATATACTTTTTGAAAATAATTTATACTTTGAAAATAATTTATACTTTACAAAATATTGCTGTTTTTTACAGCAGTATTTTGATTGATGGTATCTGATGTCAATATTCTGATGCTTTGTTTTCTTTTTTTCATTTCTCTTTGTTGTTAAATACAATAATATTTTGACATTTTTTTTAAGTTCTTGTTTTTTTGATCAATTCCTGAATCTTGCAATCTCCTTTAAATCAACTGTTAAATATATAACTGTTTAATAATATAACTACTTCAAGACTTTCAAATAAAAACCGGCACACTCCAAATACACCTTTAATTTCCAGTGTTTAAAAGAACAAAAGACCTCTTCCATAACTAAACTTATACGTATAACTTAAAAGTTCCCCTGCATTGAACTTTTAACTTTTTTATAACATCTTTATCAACTATTCAATGTTCATTTAGTAGAACTATTTTAGTTAAGAAATTTTAAATTATTTAAAAATGTGATTTCTGTAAATTTATAAAATCTATATTTGTGTTACATATACATTCAAGTTGTAATCGTGTTTTTTGTAAATTTGTTAAAAGTTTTTTTTTTTAAACTTTAGCAAAAAAAAAAATTGATTTAATAACTATTAAATAACAAAAAACACAACAAAAGTCTTGACCACATAGATTTATCATTGTTCATTTATTCAATGTTCATTTAGTAAAACTATTTTAGTTAAGAAATTTTAAATTATTTAAAAATGTGATTTCTAAATTAAAAAATCACACTTGTTTTGACATAACATCCATAGTTTTTATTTATGCCTAAATTAATTTTTTCTTGATATAAGCGCATATTTGCTTTAAGTGAGTATTAATCTATACTAATATTGTAATTTATAATATTGAAAGTTACATAACATATGTAATGGTAGTTACATAGCATATAGCACTTTTCCATATATTGAAATGTATTTTGATAATTACATAGCATTCAGTACTTTTTCAGGTATTGAAAAGCACCTTGTTAGGGGAAACAACACTTCTTTACTATAAATATTTTTAAAATTACAACTAAAATATAATTCTTAATAATATAAATATAAACTTTTCCCTAAAGATTAGTTTCTGATTTAGATTATGTTGTCTTTGATGTCTACATTTCATGTTTGTAATGTCCTGATGAAATCTCTCACATTGCTCCTGATTGACATTACCAACATTTTCTAGGAAAAAATCTAAGTAGGAATGCAACTTATGAACTTTTATGAACAAACAACAACCCAGTTTTATGGTCAACCCAGTTTCTCAAATTTTTTAAATAAGTTTTGCTATCAGTTGTTGTAATTAGGGTCCTTATGATTCCTAACAATCCATGAATATCACAAAATGCACAACAAGTTTTTATTTCAATTTTTGAAATAAATTGTTTTTAACATTAAGACAACCTGCTGCAGCGTTTTTAAGTCAACTGTTACAACTTTCTCCAACCAAGTTCGCTTGTGTTCCAGAAAATTTCAGAAATTTCAGGAATGTTTCCGCAACTTTGATTGGAATTCACATTTGAATATTCTTTAGATTTATCATTTCAGGTTTGTCACTTTCATAGTCTCGACCATTCATAGTCTCGACCATTCATAGTCTCGACCATTCAGTCTACAAAACTCTACTATTATTACTCTTTCAATTATCTCTGATTTAAAAATTGCTTTTATTTTGTACTTTGTAAATCAAGTATACAAAAATAACTATTTCAAGTATACAAAAATAAAAATTTCCATACTCGGGGCATGGAAAAAGGCATTGCCTTTTCTTCTACTTTATAACCATCTTACTAGGGCAGGTTTCACATATCATATGATATGTATTTAAAGTAAGTTAGGATGTTTTTAAAACAATTTACTTTGGTTTTGAGTGCAAACTTTAAATGTGAATTTGATAACAGGAATGCCAAATATTTTTTATATGTTTTTTGAAAGATTTTACAATGTTGAAACAAAAAACCTTTAATGCACCTTTAATTTACAACGTTGAAACGAAAAACCAAAAAAATGAAGTATTTAATACCTATTAATGATGTATTTTGCTGCCTATAATATACAAATTATTATCTGTCTTGCAATTCACTACTCATCCAAGCCTAGGCTGCAAGAAAAATTTACTAACAACCTGTCATGAGATTTTTTGTGAGGCATTAAAAATGTATGGATGCTCAATTGCTGGTAAAAATGTTATAACTTGTATAAATGTTATGACTGTTATAAAAATGGCCAATAATACAGAAAAAAAATTGTACTTTTTAAATTAGCAGAGCAAATTAACTAATAAACAATAAATTTTATAAAAATTAGTAATATTGTGTAATGATAAAAGAATAAAATTTTCATATAATATTAGTTTTTTTTTTTTTAAACAAAAAGTAAAAAACAAGTTTGTTGGTAATTGTAATCATTATTTTTATTAGTCAGACACAAGCTAACACACACACACACAAAAAGATATTTAAAAAAATATTATAGAAATAACAAATACAAAATTTTCTTTAAGAAAAAAAAAACTGAGTTATTGACAGCATGAGCAATTAAAAAGTTTATATATTTTTTTTTAAATTAACTATTTTTCTCTGGCTTAGAATCAGTGGCTAAAACATTTATCATTATATTATTTTGCACTTATACCTTGTTAAATTTACTTTTTGCCTTATTAAACCTTTATTATACTTTATATCTATATGATTTACTATACTTTATATCTAAATGTTTTTTTATACTTTATATCAGATATAAAGTATATATATATATATATATATATATATATATATATATATATATATATATATATATATATATATATATATATATATATATATATATATATATATATATATATATATATATATATATATATATATATATATAGGCATTAAAACATCATATACGGTATTATACTATTTATTCTTTTCTCTATAAGTGATATTTCGGCTCATATAGTAAGAGCCATTATCAAACTAATAAAACCGTTTTTATTAGTTTGATAATGGCTCTTACTATATGAGCCGAAATATCACTTATAGAAAAAAGAAATAAATAGTATGATACAGTATATGATGTTTTAATGCTTATAATTACACATACTATTAAAGATGTCACTTAAATTATATATATATAATAATAATAATAATATATAATAAAGCATATAGATAATCTATATGCTTTATTATAGTTTATATCTATATGCTTTACTATACTTTATATCTATATGTTTTATATTTTATACCTATATGCTTTATTATACTTAATATCTATATGCTTTATTATACTTTATACCTATATGCTTTATTATACTTAATATCTATATGCTTTTTTTAAAAAGTTTTAAAATATTTAACTTTTATTTTAAATCATGTTCATAATTAAAGAATGTTATACTTTAAAGCCGAAGCAGTTTTAAAGGTTCTTGTTGAGATAACAAATAATTTTACAAGTTTAGTTAGGACATTTGTAAGAACATAGAGTACATTTTATTATATATTATATTTTATTATTTAAAGCTCTTGAATTTAATTATATATTATACTTAAAGCCCTGAAATTAGCAGCCTTGAATTAAAAATTTGAATCTAAGGAAGTTTTAAGGAAGATAAAAATAAAAAAATCTGATTAAAAAAAAAACACTTTGCATTTGCTTTACATAATCTACATGTTTATTTTAAAGATTTTTTAAATCTCTAATAAATACAGTGCAACGTGAACACAGACCAGAGGAACAATATTTTAAAATGTTTAACAACTTACTTTTTTTCTACAACCATCTTTTTACCACAATACTTGAATATACTCAAACAACATCTAAAATATAATTGAATACATACATGTATATGTATTTAATATATATATATACACTACCGTCCATAATTATTCGAATGGTCGTACTTTTCGATATAAGATATAATAGCTTTATTTACTATTGGGAGAAAAACTGAAAACAAAATCTACCTGAATTATATGTTATCCTACTTTTTATTAGGTTTACAAAAAAAAAAAAAAAAAAAAAACTTGATTATAATCAAATTAAAATTTTTGATTATGTGATATTTCCTGATTTGTACACACCGTCATCAGACATAAAAATAGATTAATACAAATACCTTTTACATCTGATGATGCTCTGTACAAATCAGACTGAAATATCACATAAAAGAAAATTAGTATGCTGCTGTTTTATGTTTTATAACTTATTATAAATTAGTAGAAAACTTATTGAATTTATTTCATTGGAAATAAAAAAAATTTGGTGCTATTTTCTACTAATTTATTATATCTTTTTTTTTTAAAGAACATTGAGCACTCTATTTTGTAGAATACATTTAAAATTATTCATATATATATATATATATATATATATATATATATATATATATATATATATATATATATATATATATATATATATATATATATATATATATATATATATATATATATATATATATATGTATGTTTATATATATATATATATATATATATATATATATATATATATATATATATATATATATATGTATCTACTATAGTATATTTATATGCGCAATTGCTCACTTTTTTTGCTAGCCTAATTTAAGTGAGCGTTGTTAGAAAACGATGAGGGAAAAGGAAGAATAATGAATGAAAAGGATGCTGACCCATACCAAACCCTCAGTCGATGTAGCAGCACTCCACTGTGAGTCAGGCTATTTGTCAGTCAATGTATGTACTGAAGCCCCCGGCAGCAGGCTATTTAACGTTAGGTGAGTATGACATCACCACGCTCACCTGACTCAGCATATATATATGTATGTATATATATATATATATATATATATATATATATATATATATATATATATATATATATACATATATATATATATATATATATATATATATATATATATATATATATATATATATATATATATATATATATAGGGTAGGGGCAGCAACCATTTTTTTAAATTTTGTTATTTCTATTACTATTACTTCTATTACTCTTTTAGCAAAATCACTTGTTTTTACTCATTTGTGAGGACTAGATAAGTAAGCTGCTAGATCTATCTTACATATTATAGCTAGATATCATAACCAAGACGTAAGCAAACTAGAAAGAATCATCAACTTTAAAAGTAACTTTCATGATCAACAAAATTCTTTTGCAAAATCAAAGAATATTTCAAAAAGCAATTTGTTATAGCATGACTATATTATTATTAGCACAACTATATTATCATTAGACTATATATATAGTGTTATTATGAATAATTTATTTTAAATGTTTCATTACTAGATGCTTTTAAAGTTGCTAAAGTCATACGGACATATCTGCAAACCTGACTGAATTATTTGCAAACCTCATTTCTCGATAATTATCTGTTTTTCTAGCAGGAAAAAAAAAAAATATATATATATATATATATATACATATATCTCTCTCTCTCTCTCTCTCTCTCTCTCTCTATATATATATATATATATATATATATATATATATATATATATATATATATATATATATATATATATATATATATATATATATATATATATATATGAGAAAGTGAAAGAAGAAATGTTTGTTATAGATACATCTTCTTTTAGTGATAAAAAGCTGACAATCTTTTATAAAGCTCACAGTGACATCCAAGGCTTGGGGTTGACAAGTGTTATTGGTCTTAGCAGTTGGCAGATGTCTTAAGCAGAAAGAAAAAATGCAAGTAAGTAAATAAATGAAATAATGAGTTAACTAAGGTTTCAAGACTTTTTTGCAGAGACAAAAGTCTCTGCAAAAAAGTGATCTGTGGAAGTGATCTGAAGATGAATGAGGTATTAAGAATGGCAAATAAGATCAGTAGGAAAATCATTTAGAACTCATGCAAGAATAATATGCAGTTAATTGCCAACTGTGCAGTTAGTTAATGCTGGTTTGATGAGTTGAGATAACAATATGATGCATCACAATGACTATATGATGTATCACAACACGCAATTCGGAACTGAACTGACCAAACTGGAATAGACACATATTACTAAATAGTAGTATCCTTGGAGCAGGTATTTTGGGTATAAGCAACCAATACTTCAACTTCTTGTTTAGGTACTAAGGTAGTTGTTAAACTAATTAGTTGGTCTGGAGCAAGGAGTGTAAAACACTGCGAATCTTGATGATAGCTATATTGCAGCTACTCCAAACCTTCCCAGGAAAGGCGTGGGTTTTTTCGTCTCGTACAACCACGAAAACGTTTTTAAATTTAGACAACTTAATCATGGCCGTTTGCGCAAGTTTTATTGTATGCATTGCTGAAAAAAGTTTTAAATTTAAAAACTTCATAAAAAATTAAAGTAAACTTAAATAGAAAACAATGACAATAGTTTAAATAATTTGTGTGTTGTTTTTATTTTTGTTTTTTCTTAGTGGTTATTATTATCGGCAACGGTTTTAAGCATTAAAAAGTACGACTTTCCTATATTTTATGTGTTTTTTCTTTTAAAGAAAAAAGAGAAAATATTTATCATCATCTGTTTGTAAAATATATTTGTATAATTATAATGTAACAAGTATATATCAAGGGTTAATTTATACGATCGCGATTTGCAAACTCTGGTAAATATTTGGTCTTTAAAATTTTAGTTCATGCAAAGCTGGGTACTTTGTTTACAAGAAGCAAATTATTAAAAGTTTGCTAGCGAGAAAGTTACAAAAAACAAAACAAAAACAATAAACTTACAACTTCAAAAGTAATAACACTTTAGTCACTAACTGCATTATAAAAGTAATAAAACTACAATAGTGTTATTACATTTATAAAGCACTTATTACTTTTAAAGTTCCTTTTTTGTTCAAACAACATTAGTAATTCCAAACATTTATTAAAGTAGAAAAGCATCTAAAAAAAATAAAGTGGATATTAAAATATTAATAAAAACTTGAGGAACTTTTACAGATCACTTAAACAACGTTATAAAAGAGTAATTTAACAAAAGTATAGCATTATGAAAAACGTTACGTAAAAAACGCGGGTTAATTTTAAAATCAACCAATTTTATTGGTTGATTTTAAAATTAACGCGCGTTTTTATGGACCATTAGTAACGTTTTGCATAATGCTAAACTTTTTATACGTTACATTTTTATAAAGTTGTTTGTCACGTTTTTATATGTTACTTAAGTTTTAAATATTATTTGAATTTCCACTCTATTCTTCTGGATGCTTTTCTACTTCAATTAAAATTTGGGATTACTTATGTTGCTTGAACAAAGAAGGAATTTTAAAAGTTATAAGTGCGTTATAAAGGTAATAACACTATTACAGTGTTATTATTTTTGTAATGCAGTTAGTGACTAGAGTGTTATTACTTTTGTAATTGTAAGTTTATTGTTTCATTTTTTATTATTTTGCTTACAAATTTAAGTTGATTCGCCCCTTAAAAACAAGGAACAGGGTTTTGTATAAACTAAGATTTTGAATATTATATTTACATAGATATATTTACAGATTTTGATAGATATATTTACAGATTTTGCTTTTCGCATTTGCTTAATTCAACCCTTGTTATTACATTATTATGTTGTTACATTAAAATTATACAAATATATTTTACAAACACATTGCAATTTATATTTTTGATAAAAAATTAAGAAAAGGAAAATCATTCTTTTTATTTTGTAGACTTCAAACTGTTTTTTTTTTTTTTTTGCTTCGCCTTATCTAATTTTGTTGCTGAATGTAACAACCACTCTAAAGAAACAAAAATAAAAACAGTACATAAATAATTTAAACTATTAATGTGTTTTTATTTTTTTCTATTTTGAACTCTTTTTATTTTGTTAGTTTTGTTTTTTTTGTTTTTGAAACTTTTTCAGTATTGATTATTATAAAACTTGCAAACGGCAGTGTTCAAGTTGTCTAAAATAAGATACTTGCATGTGGTCATACGAGACGAAAAACCGCACGCCATTCCTGAGAAGGCTTGCTACCCCAATGAAAGAACCGATCAGAGTTATCAATTTGAAGTTGATCACACTGAAGCTCTATTTAAATAATTGAAACCATGCTTTAATGGTTTACTTTATTAGCTCTCTTGAACAGTTTGTAACAGCTAACATGTATTAGTATATTTTTTATATTATTATTTATATTAATGTATTTATAGGTAAAAAACAACTTTTGTGTTTTGAATTTTTTTATTGGTGCCAATTAAAACTTTAATAGTAATAAACCCTTGTGCTGAAAATTTTATTACTTACCACTTCACCAATTTAGTTTGTTCAAAACATTGGTAATTTTTCTTTTCTTGCACCCTTTATAACTTTATTTTTGTTTTACAATTAACTTTTTACTATATATACTATATTTTTGATTTTGGTTATACTTGCATTATAATATTGTTCATTATTATTTAGTGAAGATTTATGGGTAACATATGGTTGATGCATTTTGTCTGTTGTTAGCATTCATATATTTGTTTTTTATTCATATATATTTTTCATTCATTTGATAAATTTTGGGAACTTTTCTCCTTCAAAAAAATCTTTTTTCATTCTGAATATCTATTTATTTTTCTTTGTTTAAATTACCTCTTTTAAAGAAACTTTTTTTGTTTGTTTTAGCATTTCATATTTTGCTGTGGGCTATCATTGCTCATTTCAAGCAATAAAGATTTCTTTCGTCGAGAATCACACAGATATTTCAAATTATGGACAAATAATTCTTTATTAATATTCAAATAAATTAATAATTAATTCCTGTTATTGCTTTATTGATGGTTCACTTTAATAGTTTTTTAATTGTTTGTTCAGATTATAATGAAATTAATTTATTTAAACTTTTTAGAATTTTGTGTTTTAAAATTTAAAAAAAATATATATATTTTTATTACCACATAATGTTTTATGTGGTAATAAAAATATATATTTTTTTTTTAAATTTTAAAACACAAAATTCTAAAAAGTTTAAATAAATTAATTTCATTATAATTTGAACAAACAATTAAAAAACTATTAAAGTGAACCATCAATAAAGCAATAACAGGAATTAATTATTAATTTATTTGAATAAAAAAACTGTTTTTAATTGCTAGTTTTCTGTAAAAATAAGAAACCATATGACATACTTATCTTCTTTGATGTCATATGAAATATGACATCAAAGAAGATAAGTATTACTACAACACCATATTAATAAAATTATAAAACCAACAAAACCATGGCAACATGTATTGCAGCTCAATACTACTTTGATTTACATTTAACAAAAACTTACTCAAGAATGTCAAAAAATCCAATAATTCTCATAAACTTTGCTTAGGTGTTTAATATGATAATAGAAAATCACTTTTTTCACTTTTTGAAATATTTTTAATCAAAATATTTAAATCAAAATTTTTACTTTTTGAAATATTTTGCAAAATCTTGTTGATCATGAACGTTGCTTTTAAAGTTAATGAATATTCTTTCTAGTTCACTCGCATTATACAATAATACAACATTTAACAAAAACTTACTCAAGAAGGTCAAAAAATCCAATAATTGCCATAAACTTTGCATAATTTTTTTCTTGTGAAGCATAGTATAGCGTAGCTGCTGGAACCCAATGGCTTCTTTTTATAGTTGTTGTTAAAATATCACGCCACCAGTCAACAATTATCACTACATTTTAAAATAAGTAAATAAAAAGCAATTTTATGATTATTAAGTTACAATTAAAAGAGAACCCATTTAACAAGTCATGGGAGCTAGGTATGTCAAATATGCTAACTGTTAGAGTTTTCATTTAACAACTTCCTATACTGATAAAGTAAATGAGCAACATATTTAATATATATGTAAAATATGTTTAAATATAAATTTAAACAATATATATTTAAAACATTTTTAAATATAAATTTTAACAATATATATTTAAAATATGTTTAAATATAAATTTAAACAATATATATTTAAAATATGTTTAAATATAAATTTAAACAATATATATTTAAAATGTTTGAATATAAATTTAAACAATATATATTTAAAATATAAAAATGTTTAAACACCATATTTTAAATACACATTTTTTTTTTCTTTCTAAATTACATTTAACATTAAAAAAAATAATTATATACAAATAAAAAAAATATCTATTGGGTTGGCTAATAAATAATGGCCGCTTTTTCAATTTGAATTAGCGCGTTGATAATAAAGTGTTTTGGTATATTGTTTTATTGCTATTCGAAAGAGCTTTCTTTTCTCTATAAGATAGTATATGAGATTTTTTTGTTGACCTTAATTTTTATTTATTATCAGATCATTGAAATGGAGTGCCAAGTCGACAAAACCGAGCATTTTTGACACCTTCTTTTTGGGTTCAATCAAGGTGCTATGGCCGCAAAAGCTGCTAGTGACATTTTTGTTCTGTGTACGGAGAAGGCTCTATGCCTAAAAGAACTGCTCAAAATTGGTTTGCGAAGTTTAAAGACCGCAATTTCGATCTTAAGGACACTCGTTCCAGGCGACCCGTTGAATTTGATGAAGAGCGTTTGAATCAACTTTTGGATGGCACTGTTGAGCATCACCTTCACTCAATGGGGAAGGTTCAAAAGTTTGGTGCATGGGTTCCACATGTATTGAGCGAAAACAACAAAAATCAATGTTCCACTATTGCCACCAGTTTGCTTGCCCGTCATTGCTTAACTCATGGACACAAGCAAAGATTCCTTTATCGAATTGTTACGAGCGACAAAAAATGGTGCTTGTATATCAATATGAAGCAGTGCAAACAATGGCTCAACTTGGATAAAAAAGCGATACCCCAAACAAAGCGAGATCTTCATCCTCAAAAGACACTGCTGTGCGTATGGTGGGACTGGGAAGGCATTATTCACTGTGAATTGCTTGACCAGAACCAAACAGTGAATGCAGATCTTTATGTTCAACAGATGCACCGCCTCAACAATGCTATTCAACAAAAACATCCCGATCGACAACATGATGTTCTTCTTCAACACGACAATGCCCAACCACATATCGCCAATTTGACCAAGGAAGCTATTCTGACGCTTGGTTGGGAAGTGCTACCGCATCCTCCATATTCTCCGGACTTGGCGCCTTCAAAATTTCATCTTTTCCGATCACTTTCTAACATTTTGCACGGTGCTTCTTTCAATAATAACGTCGAATTTTTTGAGTCGAGACCAAGAGATTTCTACCAAAGAGGCATTGAACAACTTGTGGAACGATGGAAACAAGTCGTAAACAACAATGAAGAGTATATTATTGATTAATTTTTTGTTAATTATTGTTGAAAACTAAAACTAAAAAAAAAATGAAAAAAACGGCCATTACTTATAGCCAACCCAATAAATGTAATACTCAATACTTTAAATAAAAAATGTAAGCAATGATTTTAAGATAGCTTCAATAATAAAAAAAAAAACATTCAAAAAAGATCTAAGTTATTTAATTGTAACGGAATTGAAAAACATTTGTCACTTTTTTCCAACAAAATTTTTTTTATCTTTTTGAGTGTATTTACTTAAATGATTTTTCTACTAATTTCTTTAAAGATTATCATAGTCTAAAAAAGTTGTTTATAAAATCTAAATATATATTTTTTTAATTATAAAAAAAATACATAATAATATAATTTGTTAATACTTTAAACAAAAATTATTATCAGCAATTTGTTACTTTATTTAAAATTGTTTTGCTAATATAAAAAATCATTAGTAAAGATAATAGTTTCAATGTTGTTTATTTCTAATGTATAAATATAACATAAAAATCTTTTTTTATTTAGTGTTTCTAAAATGTAAATAGCCATGGTCAAATCGTCAAAACTAAGTCATTATTGCGTGGTCATATAATGGCCTGCGATCCCACATCTTTCAGTAAAGGCCTGAAATTATACCTGTTATGCAATATAGTTGGGCTTATTTAGAGTACCCACTCAAAAACTACAACCTTTATAAAGAGTTTATAAAATGGTTTATTTTTCAACATGACATATAGCTTAAAGTTTATTGGATTTTTTTTTTTGTTAATTCACCTTCCCTAGGCCGAGAAGGCCACTACAGACAAGGAGGCTACTTAATTATGGTTATAACCCTCTCTCAACTCTATCACTCTGAAATACAAACCTTGACGAACAAGGCTGCTGCACAGAGAAACAAGTTGAGTGTAGTACTACCAGGGACGTAGTGGGGATCACACTCAGAACCTCATACTTATGAAGCGAGCGCTCTACGACTACCGCATTTAAATGATTGCTCTTAATACTAATGTTTAAAATTTCATCTGAGGCTAATAATTTACTCTGACAATCAATATCAGGGTTTGCATTAAAAAACTCGCCCAATAAAACCCACAAAAAACCCGCCTAAAAAAACCCAATAAAACCCTGGAAAATCTGGGTTTTATTGGGTTTTTTTAAAGATATTTAATAAGTTTATGAACTATTATAACCAACTTTAAAATTATAACTATAATATTATTAACTAAAATAATTATTAACTATTATTATTAACTAAATTATTATCAACTATTATTATTAACTATTATAACCAACTAAACAGCTATTAGAGCAGGTTTACTATTATTCGAATCATTATTTGGAAATACATTATTACAATTTTTATTCAAATATTTTTATCGATTGAGATTTTTATTACTTTATGTTATTCACCTCCCAAGTTGAATTTAAATGAGTAGTAGTGACCAGAGAAGCCAACACAACAGTCGAGGAGGCTACCTTGTTGTGGTTACAATCCTCTCTCAACTCTTATGCAGTAGTGGTGTTGTGGTAGAGCGCTTGCTTCATAAGTGAGAGGTTCCAAGTTTGATCCCCACCACGTCCCTGGCAGTACCGCGCTCAACTCCTTTCTCCGCGCAGCGTCAAGGTTCTCCTTGGTTTCTCCTTGGTCGTCAAGGTTCATGTTTCGGAGTTATAGAGTTGAGAGAGGGTTATAACCACAAATAAGTAGCCTCCTCGCCTGTAGTGGCCTTAAGCCTTGAGGAAGTGAATTGATTAAAAAAAAAAAAAAAAAAAAAAAACTCTTTGACTCCTTAACACGAATCTTTATAAACAAGGCCGCTGCGCAGAGGAATAAGTTTGTTCATTTGAATTTCAAGTTCAAAGTTTAATTGAAACTTCAGTTACTACCTCCCATTCTCTAGCCTTCTTTTTCCCATTTTCTCATTGACATTTTTAATTAGTAGAATAATACTTTTAAATTTAAAATAAATCAATATATATAGATTAAGCGTGAAATTTTTTTTTTCTATTACAGTTTTAAATTATATTTAAAAATCTTTTTCAAAATAATTTGAAAAATTCTTGTTATAAATAATTAAACAACAATATAAAAAACATATTTTAAATAAAGTTAAAGTAGAAAATGAAACTAATTTTTTAATCATTAAACAAAAACACACAAAAAAATTTTACAGCGACAAAATAAAAATTAAACCCAAAAAAACCCAAATTTATCCAATAAAACCCAAAAAAACCCACTGGGCCAGGTTTTTTTTAAAAAACCAGGTTTTTGGCAACCCTGATCAATATAGATTTTGATCCGAATGTTCTACAGCTAAACTTGTTCTAACAAAGTTACAATCCTGTTTCTTGTCTATATTAAGGATCTTCCAAGAATCTTACATCTAAAATGGCTGACAACACAAATATTGTATTCCAGTCTTGACAAGAAAATTATCACTTTTTATCACTTAGAACTGGATGCTGATCTTGAATTTTTTTTTACCATGAAGCTTGCAAGGTATAAAACAATAACTTCATATCCATTTTGTAAAGGTTTTGAAAGTTATAGTTTATTCCATAAAATATCTAAACTAATCAAATTTTTCTAAAGATTCTCAAAATTGTAACCTATGGTTTCTATGAAATAAAAACTTTCTATAACTCATCATATATTATTAAAAACATGTTGTAAAATTTGTTTATTCATCATGTTATCAAGATGAATGTTGTAAAATTTGCTCACAGTAGTATCTAAGATAAAACTTCAAGAGACATTAAAATTCAGCTTTTTTAGAAAAACAATGAAAACACAAAAATTCATTATTTTTGATTAAATAAGAAAAATTTATAAACCAATATGTAATTTGATAACAATATGTAACATTAACTATTAATAATATATATAATAATATATAACTATTAATAATATATAAGCTGATATAAGATTTATGAAAAAATATATCCATAAGCAATATGTAATATAAAACTAATAATAATAATAGCTGATATAAGACTTATTAAAATTGTATCTAAAAACTGGTTTAAAAATATTTTTATAGCAAATAAAATTTTTTTAAACATACTCTATTATGTCTTTATCTCTTTTTATTATGACCTTATCTTTTATTGTTATATTGTTATCTCTCTCATTATTATTGTTATATTGTTATCTCTCTCATTATTATTGTTATATTGTTATCTCTCATAATTATTGTTATATTGTTATCTCTCATTATTATTTTTATATTGTTATCTCTCTCATTATTATTGTTATATTGTTATTTCTCATAATTATTGTTATATTGTTAATTATTGTTTTATTGAAAAAAGATACACAACAAATATATCAAGTAAAAAGTTTTTACTTGATATAAGTGATGACTTTCTTAAATTCCGTATAAGTGATGACTTT